TTCTAGAACCCTTTTTAGGTATTCTAATCAGTTAAAGGCTGAAGACAGGCTTCCAAGCTTTCTGTGATCACATTTTCTGACATTTCTTTCTATCCCACAATCATAGATACTTTTTAATTGTTAAATTAAATGAGTAATGTATATATACTGCTTACACAGTGCCCGGTGTAGAATAAATGAACTAGCAGCCCTACACATAATTTCAAATTTTATTCAAGGTCTGTTTGACCAGTAAAAGTCTATGCTCTGAGACAACACGAGGATCTACCTTGTGGAGAATTCTTTTGAAAGTGCCCCCTATTCTAATGGCATTGCTGTTTTTGTTTTTTTATTCTGGCATAAATTGCAGCTACTGTGGTTTGTACCAGGAAAACAAACAAGAAGACAGTGGTCATAGGGTCAACTCCAGCTTATGGTGATGCCATTTATGTTAGGAGAGAACTGTGCTCCATCGGGTTACTAATGGCCAAGGGCTGGGGAGGAGATCACCAGGCTTTGCTTCTGAGGTACCTCTGAGTGGACTCAAATCTCCAGCCTTGCAGTTGGCAGCTGAGCACGTTAAACTAGTTTATACTGCCCACGGACTCCTACGCTAAAACAATGATGTACTCTCTCTCTCTCACCTTTTTGGAGATTCGGATTTATTGGCTTTAAATGGCCAGAAAGACGTATTTTAAAATTATTTACCTATTTCATCAAAATACTTAGTTTTGGAATCATTCAATGTAGTCTAAAAACAAATCAACTAAAATCAAATCCCTTCAGTCATCTTTAAATTTATTTACATATATTCTAAAGTAATTTTTGGTGTTCTATTCCAAAGCAATATGTATTATCTCTATAATTTCTTTTAAGTTTTGTGAAGAGAATTAAAAATACAGGTGAGAAAATCCATTTGATTGCTTAAAATCACTTTACTTTTAAAAATCTAGTTGCTAGTGGTGGTGGTTATGTGCCATGGAGTCGGTTCCGACTCATAGTGACCCTGTACAGGGTTTCTGAGGCTGTAAATCTTTACGGGAGCAGAAAGCCTCATCTTTCT